GAGTGTGTGGGCAGCTGAGCATGGTGAAACACCTCCCTAGACCTCTGACTCAGAGGTAGAGAACTGTGCAGCATGCACATGGCCTTAGTTTCAGTCATCAGCACCAAAGGGGAAAATTAAAGGAAAAAAAAGAAAGAAAGAAAGAGAGAAAAGTAAAAATAGAAAGAAAAGAAAAGAAAAAAAGATTGTGGACAGTTATTGAGAAGGTTTTTTTGATAACTCTTAGAAGAGCAGGGGTGAAGAACTATGTCCTGCTTTATTTCTGGAAAAGTTACAAGAGGACCTGATGAAGGACATGATGTTTAGAAACACTGCAGCCCTCTTGAGGTCATGAGTTATTACTAGGACTTAAAAACACATGTGGTAATACTGGAAAAGCAGAATTATATACAGAATCTGGATCTTTACTGAGTTTACTAAGATGCTAAACATGACCTATATTCTCCAAACTTCAATCTCTAAAGTACTTTCACTAGTTTGTAAAATTATTCTTACTTCTCCTAAGATATAGTTAAGAGGAAGAGCCTGCCTGGCCTTAGACCTGCTGGTCTGGAGAAGATGGGCAACATGATGGGTGTGAGTGTACTGTGTTGGCCTCTGAGGCAGGGAGGGCTGGGTCCATGGGTGGGTCCCTCCTCCCTGCCTCTTACCCATGCTGTGCCAATGTCCAGAAACCCCAAACACCTCAGTGAATTTACACATCTTTCTGTCTTTATTTCTGTTTTTACCTCCAAAGCATAAACTATTCCCTTGCTTCTGTAATGTGCCCTCCTCCTCCAAGGGTCACCCACACAGAACTGTGCTTAAGGCACAAGGACAGCCCGTTCTGAACCAGAAAGTGACTAAAGATCACCCCTCACAGCTCAGGGGGCTGACTGTGTCCTGTGGCCCCAGAGAACTATGTTAACTCCAAGGTAATCTGAGCAGCTCTGGTCTGACCTGGGACACCTGGACACACTGAGCCTGTGTTGTTTGACCAGGAGGAGCCTCCGTGCAGCTGTGCTCAGCCTGCCCAGCCCTGCTGATTTGCATGTGCCCACAGGACAGCCCACTTCCCTGAGGACTTCTTAAGAGGCTGCTCACACCCTGTGCAGGAGTCAGTCCCAGTCAGGACACAGCATGGCCATGAGGGTCCCTGCTCAGCTCCTGGGGCTCCTGCTGCTCTACCTCCCAGGTAAGGAGGGACAGCACTGGGGATTTACTAATCACAGTGTGGTCAGTGCTGCCTGGCTACTCAGGAAAGTCCTCTTGCAACATCACTACTTGCAAGGA